TGGTGATCAATATCCCCCCCCTTATATGTTATACATGGAGATCATATCCCCCTTATGTATTATACATGCCGGGATATCATATCCCCCCTTATTATTATACAATGGAGATCCATATCCCCCCCTTATGTATACATACATGGAGATCATATCCCCCCTATATGTATTTATACATGGAGATCATATCATATTACACACGGAGAAACACGCTGTGAACTGCATCTCATCATTAGGAGTTTGGGCGCGCTCTGCTGGTTGCCTTTTTCTGCTTACATGGAGGTCACTAAGGTCTTCTCTAATGCCCGCCTCTCCACCTCCCCCCTATGATCTTGTCCCCTCACAACTCCTCCGGTCACCCCCCCTCCTCCATTCTACGTTCCCTCACCCACATCTTTAATCTCTCCATCTCTTCCGGCTCATTCCCCTCCCCTCTGAAGCATGCAACACATCACCCCTATGCTTAAAAAATTTTCCGTGGACCCCACCAACCCGAGCAACCTCAGACCCATCTCCCTGCTGCCATTTACATCCAAGCTCCTTGAGTCTATAGTTGCCTGAGCTCTCTCTTCACCGACAACAACCTCCTCGATCCCATACAGTCCCTCTTTCCGTCCCCTACACTCCACCGAAACTGCCTTACACTCCACCGATACCCGCCCTACACTTCCACCGAAACCGCCCTACACTCCACCGAAACCGCCCTACACTCCACCGATACCGCCCTACAGCACTCCACCGAAACCCCGCCCTACACTCCACCGAAACCCCGTCCTCTCAAGCTCACCAACGACCTTCTAACCACCAAAGCTAATGGCCACTATTCAGTGCTCCTACTCCTCGACCTCTCTGCAGCCTTCCACACAGTCCACCACCCCCTCCTCCTTACTAAACTAACACTCCCTCGCCTCAGAGACTCCGCTCTCATTCCTAGTTCTTGTCCTACCTATCCCAACGCTCCTTCAGCATTACCTATAACACTGCCACCCACTCCACCTCTCTCCCCCTCTCTGTTGGGGTCCCTCAAAGGCTCTGTCCTCGGGCCCCTTCTCTTCTCCATCTACACCTCCTCCCTTGGCCAACTCATACACTCCCACGGCTTCAATTACCATCTCTATGCCGACGACACACAAATCTATCTCTCAACCCCCCACCCTCACCCCCTCAGTCTCCGCCCCCCACCTCACCCCCTCGGTCTCCGCCTCCTCACCTCACCCCCCTTGGTCCCGCCCGAATCAACCACCTACTGAACTGCATATCAGAGTGGATGTCACTCCATTTCCTCAAATTGAACCTTTCCAAAACTGAGCTCCCAGTCTTCCCCCCAGCCCCGCACCCCCCCACCCACTGACTTCTCCATCACATCCAACAACGCCACCATCAAACCCGCCCCGCAGGCCAGAGTACTGGGTGTCATTCTGGGACAACGTCCAACCTATCCTTCCAGCACCAAGTCCAATCTTTAACAAACTCGTGCAGACTCCGCCTCCGCAACATGCAGACTCTGCCTCTGCAACATGCAGACTCCGCCTCCGCAACATGCAGACTCTGCCTCCGCAACATGCAGACTCCGCCTCCGCAACATGCAGAACTCCGCCTCCGCAACATGCAGACATCCACCTCCGCAACATGCAGGACTCCGCCTCCGCAACATGCAGATTCCACCTCCGCAACATGCAGACTCCTTCCTCTGCAACATCCAGACTCCACCTCCGCAACATCACCAAAAATCCGCACGTTCCTTACGCCAGAAACCACTAAACACCTCATCCACCTCCTCATGCATATCACGACCTCGACTACTGCAACTCCCGTCCTCAACTGAGCCTGCCTCACCACAGGCTATCACCCACTTCAGTGCCCATCTGTTGAATACGGCTGTGCCCAGGACTCATTCTTCACCCTTCCAAGCCGCTCCAATCTCCGCCAGACCCCCCTCTGCCAAACTCCCATCCCTTCCACTCGGCCTCCACTAACCAGATGTCCCTCCACCCGCTCTCCTGGCCATCTCCCTCCACTGGCCTCGCACTCAGGTGTCCGTCCACCCCGCCTCTGCCAATCCCTCCGACTGGCCGTCCACTCAGTGGTCCTCCACTCCCCCTCTGCCTATCCCACCACTGGCCCTCCACTCAGTGTCCTCCACTCCCTCGTCAGCCGAATCCGTCCCACATCGGCCGTCCACTCAGTGTCCTGGTCCCTCCACACGCCCCCACTGCCAATCCCTCTACTGGCCTCCGACTCAGTGTCGCTCACAACCCCCTCTCTAAAACCAATCCCTCCACAGGCCTCCACTCTCAGATGTCCACCACCCCGCCTCTGCCAATCCTCCACTGGCCTCCACTACAGATCCCTCCAACCCCCCTCCTGCCAGATAATCGCCTCCACTGGCCTCCACTCAGTGTCCTCCACAACCCTCTGCCCCAATCCCTCCACTGGCCTCCTAGTCAGTGTCCCTCCCACCCCTCGTCTGCCAATCGCCTCCACTGGCCCCCCACTCAGTATTATCCCTTCTAATAATAATAATAATATAATGCAACTAATCGATGAGGAGTGGGTGGGGGGGCGCCCTCTCTTCTGGCCGTATGTTAAACAAGCATCTAATCAGGAGGAGTGGGGACTCCCTTCTGCTGAGCTTGCTGTGAACCATGCATGTATTCATGAGGAGTGGGAGGCACCCTAACTGTTAGAGCCGGATGTGAACTTCGCCTCTAATTAATGAGGAGTGGGGCCGCCTCTGCCTTTCCTAATTGTGAAAACCATAAGCATCTAATTATGAGGAGTGGGGCGCCCTCATGCAGGCCGGCTGTGTTAAAACATGCATGTGATCGATAAGGAGTGGTGGGACACCCTCCTGCTGGCCAGATGTGAACATGCAAGTAATCATGGAGGAGTTGGGGAGCCCTCTGGCTGGCCGGACTGTGAACATGCATATAATCAGAGAGTAGGTTTGGGGCGCCTCTCTGCTGGCTGGCTGTTGAACAATCGCATGTAAGTCATGAGTAGTGGGGCGCCCTCGTCACGATGGCCGGCTGTGAAACACGACGCAACCTTAATCATAGAGGTGTGGGCGCACATCTGGCTAGGCCTGGAACAGAGTACTGTGTACAACGCATCTAATCGCATAATGATGGGGCGCCCGTCTTTGCTGTCCGGGGGTTACTGTGAACATGCATTCTAATCACGTGTAGTGGGGCGCACGCTCGTGGCTGGCCGGCTGATGAACATGCATGTCATCCATGAGGCGAGGTGGTTATGCCTCTACAGGGCCGTCCTGTTGAACATTTTAGTAGCCAATGCATGAGGGAGTGGGGCGCCCTCTGCTGGGCGGCTGTGAACATGCAAGTAATCAAGAGGAGATTGATGAAACCCTCTGTTTAGCCGGATGTGGAACATAACATCTAATCATGAGGATTGTGGCGCCCCTCTGCTTCTGCTGGCCGGCTGTGAAAATCATGAATCATGAGGGAGTGGGGCCGCCCTCTGCTGGCCGGGCTGAGAACAATGCCTCTAATCAAGAGAGTGGGGGCGCCCACTGCTGGCTGATGTGAACATGCATCTACTCATGAGTGATGCGGCCCCAATGCTGCCGTGTGAACACGCATCTAGTCAAGAGGAGTGGTGCGCCCTCTGCTGGCCCGATCTGGATCATGCTTCTAAGCATGTTGAGGATGGGGCGCCCTCAATGCTGGCCCGCGTGTGAACTACGCATCTAATCATGAGGATTGGGGCGCTCTGCTCTGGCTCTGCCCGCTGTAAAACATGCAATCTAATCATGAGGAGGTGGGGGAGCCCCTCTGCTGGCCGGATGTGAACATGCATTTAAATCATGTTTGTGTAGTGGGTTCCGCCCTTCTGTGTGGCTGGCTGCGAAACATGCATGCAACTATCCATGATGAGTGAGGCGCCCCCTGCTGGCCGAATTGAGAACACAGCATCTAATCATGAGCCATGAGGCCCCTCATTCTGGCCGGTATGTGAACATGCATCCTAAACATGAGGAGTGGGGCGCCTCTCTGCTGAGCCAGAACTTGGTGAACACGCATACTAATGCATGAGAGTGGGGCGGCCTCTGCTGCCCACGGCCCTGTAAACAATGCAATCTAATACATGAGGAGTGTGGGCGCCCTATCTGCTGGCCGGTGTGAACATGCTAATCAAATCATGTTGTGTAGTGGGTCCTCCCTCTGATGCTGGCCCCGGATGTAAACCATGCATCGTAAATCATGAGGAGTGGGGCGCCCTCCTGCTGGCCGGATGTGCTCATGCATCTAATCCGAAGTGAGGATGGGGGCGCCCTCATGCGGGCCGGCTGTGAACATGCATGTAATCATGTGGAGTGGGGGGGCACCCCTCTGCGGCACGGTAATGTGCAAGGGCATGTAATCAGGATGAGTGGGGTGCTCACCGCTGCTGGTCGGCTGTGAACATAGTGCATCGTAATCATGATGTGCAGTAGGGGCGCCCCTCTGCTGGCCAGATGTCGAACACGCAATCGTAATCAAGAGGAGATGGGGCGCTCCTCTGCTGACCGTGGTTGTACAAGGCTCTAATCATTAGGAGTGAGGCGCCCCCTGCTGGCCCGTGTGAAACACGCATCTAATCATGGAGGAAGTGGGGCGCGCCCTCTGGCCCGCTGGTTTTAACACCCTTTTAAATCAGAGGGGTGAGGCGCCCTCGCTGGCCCCCGGGTGTTTAAAAATGCTCCAATTCCCTGAGGAGTGGGGGGGGCCCTCTGCGGGGCCGGCCCGTGAACACGTAACTAATCATGGGGGGGAGTGGGGCCCCTCTGCGCCCGGGTGTAAACATGCAAATTTTTTCATGAGGAGTGGGGCCCCTCTGCTGGCCGGGGTGAACAGCATTTTAAACATTTTTGTAGTGGGTTTGCCCTCGTTGGCTGGCTGTAAACCCCAAAATAATCATTAGGGTGGGCGCCCCCCTGCTGGGCCCCCTGTGAACCGGGAAACAATTTAAAGAGGGTGGGGCGCCCTCCCGCTGGCCGGGGGTAAACATTTCATAAAAACATGTGGGGTGGGGGGCCCTCCCGTGGGGGGGTTTTGAACACGTATCTAATATGAGGGGTGGGGGGGGCCTCGCTGCCCCGGGTGTAAACATGCATCTAATTTATGGGGGGTGGGGGGCCCCCCTGTGGCCGGGGTGAACTTTCTTTTTAAACATGTTTGTTGTGGGTCGCCCTTGT